CAGCTAGCTTTCAGGAGATTTTGGAGCACGTCATGCTTCCATCTGCTGAAAAGCTTTATGGAGATGAAGATTAGATTTTTCAGCACAACCTGGCACCTGCTCACAGCGCCAAAACCACTGGTAAATGGTTCACTGACCATGGTATTACTGTGCTCAGTTGGTCTGCCAACTATCCTGACCTGAACCCCATAGAGAATCTGTGGGATATTGTGAAGAGAAAGTTGACACGCAAGACCCAACACTCTGGATGAGCTTAAGGCCGCTATCGAAGCATCCTGGTCCTCCATAACACCTCAGCAGTGCCACAGGCTGATTGCCTCCACGCCACGCCACATTGAAGAAGTCATTTCTGCAAAAGGATTCCTGACCAAGTATTGAGTGCATAACTGAACATAATTATTTTAAGGTAGACTTTTTTTGTGTTAAAAACACTTTTCTTTTATTGGTCGGATGAAATATGCAAATTTTTTGAGATAGGAATTTTGGGTTTTCATGAGCTGTATGCCAAAATCATCACTATTAGAAACAATAAAAGGCATGAATTACTTCAGTTGTGTGTAATGAATCTAATATATATGAAAGTCTAATGTTTATCAGTACATTACAGACAATAATGAACGTTATCACAATATGCTAATTTTTGAAAAGGAATTGTACTTTACAGTACTGTTGACACAGCACCAATCTGCCTAACGTCTTCAAGAAACCCAAGTCCAGTTGCCTTCATTCAAACCCCTTTGGATTGTAATGAAAATAGAATTGTAGCTCATACCCACCAGCGTGTGAATCTGTGTATGAATGGGTGAATGATTGGTTGTGTTGTGAAGCAACTTGAGGGTTGCAGAACCTTAAGAAGGCACTATACAAACACAGGCCATGACACAACACAATGGCATAATTAAAACTATACTACGGTCACGTTAACACAGAGTCATCTGGACCAACTTTTAAGGAGATGATTGTTTTTGCAACCCAAGTCCAGTCTTTAATAATTAATTCAAACAAATTCACCACGAGTGACAGATTTATTTTCTTTTTGCTACATTCAGTAAAGCAACTTGACCATGTCTGTTAATTTGGGTTAATGTGACCTAACTTTACCCCCAAATCCTTGCCCATGAAACTCATGCAGGTTGAAGGAAAGCAGTGAAATAGATACAGGATTTTATATCCTGTCTTCAGTGGAAGCAGAAAGCTGGTTGCAATTTAGACTCTAATCCTCAGGGATGTTTGTAAAGTGTCTCGGGATAAAATCCACCTTTAAGTCATGTAGGGTTACATACCTGGAACCAGTTAGTCAGCCCCATATTTTCAAGTTTTGTAGGTTTGTCAGCTCTATACTGTAGAATAATATAAAGTATTATTCAGGATGTTCACAGTAAGTGGCTCTGTGTAAAGGAAAGAACAAACATGACTTCATCCCAGAGGCTTGCAAAGGCAAAAACTTCAGATGTCAGCCAAAATATCTGACTCTTGCATACACATGTGTTACACGCACCATATTCTTACCAGGTGTTGTTCGAAGCAGCAGTTAAAACCTGCTCATCCTATGAAACCATATTTTATATCTGCTTCTATTATCTTTGGTATTTTCTTTGGTATCTTTGGAATTCTATGTTTATACAATGCAAAATGTAACAAAAAGGGATAAATTGGGATTTCCCTCTGGGATTAATAAAGTATTTTTGAATTGAATTTGGTCAAAATCAAGACAAAGTATGGATTCCAATTTGAGCTCCAGTGATGTAAGAAAAGTTGTTTGTTGTGTTGAAGAAAACAAAGCTTTTAGGGGCTTATTCGAAGCTAATTTAGTTAAAGTTTTTAAATCCCACCTACCACTGAGCCAAGATGCTTTTACATTATCACAATGTTTGACAGAGCCCTCTTTGTGTTATGTATTGTCTTCATCTGGCTGTAAAACCACTAATTACATTGATTGAACACACTCTAAAAATTAGAATGAATCCCAGTTTAATCAGCATGTGAGGAAAAATGCATTATTTACACTCGTTAATGGTTTTTGGCTGATTTTCCTAAGAAACTAATACAGGAATCACAGAAACAGTTGTTCATGTTGTTTTCTCTCTTGGTCTGCTAAAGCTTTATGAGTCATAGAAGCTGAAGCTGAAGGGGGTCTTTCAGTTCTGAGTCAGCCCACTGAAACACTGTGGAACAATACACTGAATTCTCTGCAGGGATACTTGAAAAAAAGCTGAAAATGACATCAGACATAGATTTTGCCAATAGCTTTCCCCCCAATTTTTTTTGACAGCCCCAAACTTAGACATACAAACAGTGAATATCAAGTTTAATCTTTTTTTTTCTAACACAGTGACTATAATTCAACAATAAATCACAGATCCTTGCAAATACAATCATAGTTTCTTGAGGGTTTCTTTGCATGTTGGTGCCCGTTTTTATTCCTGCCAGCTCTGCTGCCCAACTCAACATGCATCATCAACATCTGCTGGGAGATTGTTAAACTTCACAGTAGTTATTCTGAACTGTGGCGAGAAAAGCAATGAATCAGCCAGTTATTATGGCTAGGGTGATGGGAAGTCATGGTGAAAAATAGTTTTACTGCATACGTAGTAAGTAGACACTTATGACACTTTTGGAAATGAGATACTAAAACAAAACCTGCAAGGGAATACTAATATCAACATGTTTGTATTGAGTTCTTTAAACAGCGAACCTTTGCATGATGTTAGTTTTACTCAGATTCATGCTTCCCAGACATAGTTTTCCAGACTTTTACACCCAAAAATAGTTTAATTCTGAATTATGACCTGAATTGTGATTCTAATTTGACCAAACATGGTGTTGCCCGGGCACATGGTGGACCAGGTTCCCATTGCAAGGCTGACTGAAGCCTGCCAAGTTCTCACATCCACACTGTTGGATGCTTTTCAAGTGTAATTTAGAGACCACAACTTCCGTCTGAAACATTTGCTCCCAAGCAGCCTGTGATTTGTTCGAACCTAACAAGGGCTGGTAAAAGCAAAATTACACAGCTAACAAGTTTCTTTTGGCAGTTTTTCCCTTTTATTTTCCCCCTTTTTCCACTCCCAGTCTTGAAGTCTCAGAAACCTGCAAAAACTGGGGTGATCTAGTTTTTATATTACTGAAAATGTTTAGACAGAGTCATCACTTTATACATGCTACGTATTTCTGGGTTTTATTTGTCATTTTTGCATTGTTTTCCTTGTTTAAGTCTGTGAAGATCCATACCAGACCAGGAGGAAGACGTGAAAAGCTCCCTTCTCACAAGAGACATTACATTAAAGATTTGTCTTCCTGTTACAAGCACATCCAAAATCTCTCTCCCTCTCTTTCTCTCTTTTTGGTTGTGGCATGAAAAATATGACTTTATCATGCACATAAGCTGCGCATATTGGAAATGAAACACACCCTGCAGCTGTTGAATGGAGTGAATGATGGCACATAGCTCTCAGTGTGGGAAAGTATTTCAAAAATAAGAGCAGCAGTGTTTCATCATCATCATTTCCCATTAAAGTCAACCTAAAGTTTATTAATGTACCTTTGTAGCTTAGTTTCATATTGTATTTTCTTCTCATCCTGTTGGCTTTTAATGTTCGTTTATGACTTCAAACCAAACTTAATTACTGTTTGCTGCCATCTACTGGACCAACTATGGAAATGGAATAAAAAATGAGGAAACTAGATGACCAGCCTAGTGAACTAGACCAAATTCTTGCTTTGATAAGTTTGATAAAGTTGAATAATATATTTATTTAGTCGGGCTTGCCAGGCAACTAGATGGCAGCTATGAATTTTATAATGAGCTTAAATATAAACAAATCAAAAACAGGACTATATTGATCATCTCACTTTAATAATTAAAAGTAATTTTTAAAATGTATTTTCATTTAGCATTTCCTGAACATGCTTGAAGCTTTTATGTAGTTTATATATTTTTTGCTTTTTATTCTGTTGTTTCATGTTCGATGTTTAATTTTCTTTTATCATGATTGCATTTTGTTCTTCAGCACCTTGGCCCACTGTAATGGGTGAGGAAGACACCATATAAATAAAGCCTTGATTAATTGATTGAATTACCACCATAAACTAATGACAACATAATTAAATTAATATCACTTGTGATCAGTACCCCATTATGCTTGGTTTGCATTGAAACACCAAATATGGTCTAAACAGTTCATGCAATAAAGCTTTAGAGACATTTTAATTTAATTTTCAGAAAAAATAATCCCACATTCTTATACAATCCTAATAGAAAAATGTGTGTTATTTCCATTTATTCCTAAATTTGTTTCCTTTGGTTAGATATTTTTGCTAAGTTTGGCAACACTCCCATAGATCTTTCATCCCCTCTGCAGTAAGAGTGTAAAACTCCTTGTACTGGCATTATCCTCGTACTCCAATGCAATACTCAGTATGTGATCAATACCTGATTTACATAGTACATCTGTGTCCCTTGTGTAGGCTGCATAATTCTGTGATCCAAATTTTTCCTTTTTCCGTGTGGTTTTTATTGGTCGAAGGTTACAATACTAGCTTACTACCTATGTGTATATAAATATATGTACCTTGTTCTTATTTTTCTTCAAGTTGGTGCTGCTGTAACACGTGCATTTCCCCTCTGTGGGATTATTAAAGTCTATTTTATTCTATGTCATTATTAAAAATATGGAGAATATCATGTTTATGCCATCATTTGTATTTGTTCCATTTATGTTCTGAAGTATTTGCTTATTTAATATTCATTTAGTATCTCTGATGGTTCCGTAAATAAAGGTTTTCTAACCCTTCCAAAGGAAAAACAGGCTTACAGAAATAGAACAAACTCCAACACGTCACCAAATGTGATTAGGTGTTGCTGACATTATTTTGTTTGAAAGAAATTGTAGTTCAAGCATTTAAAACGTAGATTTTTCAACGTATCTTTAAATATTTGATTTATTTAACTGTTCTCGTACGGACTGAAAAAAAGGCAGCACCTGTTTTTTTCTTGCGTTGTCATGGTAACCACAACACGCTCGTTCTTCCGGAAATAGAGAACCGTGATTTGGTTCCGCTGGACAATTTTAAAACGTACTTTTGAGTAGTTTTGTTGGATAAAGAGATTTAATACTTGAAGACAGGAAAAGTTAAACAGTAAGACTTCATCTTTATCTTCTAACTTTCAGATAAACACGTACTCAGGTTGTAGCTTGTTGTTAGCATATTGAAGGAGCAAACCATCGACATTAGGAGGAAACACATACAGTTAAATTCGCTTAATTAAAAAGTGTTTTAAATGTTCCGGTGCTTTTATCAGTTTTAAACTCTAAAATGTCTGTCTTTATTTCAAATTCGGCTAGAAAAACGCTTCCAAAATAAAAGCACCATTTTGTGTTTAAAGCTAATAAAGCCACATTTTTAAAATAATAAACATATCATTTGTATTTTATCTTTTTCCCTTTTTGGAATGTATTTAGATACCTATACAAAATATCATGGTTTCTCCTACCCTAAAAATGGTGAACGGGTTTACGTTTTTGTCACAAACCCTGCTGATATTTTTCTTTGTTGTCTGCAGCATGTTGATTCATACGGGTTTAATTGATCTTATTGTTCTTGTGTATTTTGGATCAGTGGATGTGTCTGAGGAGGAGCAGGAAGACAGGCCTTCTAGCACAAAAGCAGCAGAGTTTGAAGGACAAGCAAAACCTCTTGACCCTGTTGCTCTCTCTCCTGATGCACCCCTTGCCGAGATCTCTGCTAGTTCTGCCTTCCAGATTCTAGATGAGGTAAAACACCTAAACACTAGTAGTGATCATGTTTTTGAATGAAAACAAACATGTAACATGTAATTTTTTTCTCTATTCATCTTTTATTATTAAAAAATGTAGATTTTTTTTACATGACAGGTTATTATGAAAAAAAAAAAAACCCACCACACACAAGTGTTCAAATATGTTGGTTTTATCTAAGAATGCCCACACTTATCCATCATTTATCAGTGTTTTACTATGAATAATCAAACTGTACTGCAAGATTTACAGCACATATTATATAAAAGCTCTGATATCTCTCCAAGTCAAATAAATACTGTACACATCCTTCAAATGAAACATTTCTTTAGTCCATCTTCCTCCTTTCTTTGTATAAAATGGATTACACAGTGCTGTACAGTTTCCTAACTTTAGATGGCGGTATTGTACACATGGTGAATGAAGGATTTTTACAGATGAAATCTGTTGAAGGGCATCAATAATTGTGCTGTGTATCCAGAGACAGGGATGGAGAAAACAGCTGGATTTGTTTAATGTCCCGCTTGATGACAGCTGTCAAAAACAATTTAGCAGAGCATCATTAATAGGATGTAACAAATGTGGGGAGCACTCTAGAGGAATACATCAGGATGCTTCTTTTTTCTTGAAAGCTTAATGTCTAGGATAATGATACATTACAGAACCACCCCAGTGTAAAATAAATGACATCCAATTTTCATTTTTTTGCAGATCTTCACTAAAGATTTATGAAATTGTCTGACCCCCCAGCGTGAAGTCTTTCATGAGGAATTTTATGCACAAAAGTGTATAATAAGCTACCTCACTTGAGCAGTTGCTGTTAATTATAAAATCATTTGCAGCGGAGAAAATGATAGCTCATTAGTTTTTACTACTGGTGTGTGCTGCGCCGTATCTCAGCGGGGTTTATAGCAGGAGGCAGCAGCACAAAAAGTGGAAAAATGTCAGAGACCAGTGAAAAATTATTCATGGCAAGCTTCTGTGTAATATCATGGCCCCTGTAGGAAGCTGGCCTTTCTGCCGCATGTGTGTTTTACTCCATCGTTATCCATAGATCATTCGTTTTCTTTCACTCCCATCATCACATTAATTCATCACTTTAAAGGCCACACTCCCTATGGGGCAAAATGTAATGTACAATAAGATTTTTCACGATAATTTTGTTAGCACTGCGTTCAAACTCTTTTTTTTTTGTGTACATGGATACATGTGGACATGTGTACAAATGAATCATTACAGAGACTTTCCTCCATTTTTTTGTTTGTCTTCGTCTTAAACATCAGACCATATTTGCAAATATTCACTCGTCCCTCTTAAGGAGCATAGTTTTTGGGCCGTATCATCATCTTGACAGTTTTAAAGGCCTGTCTGTAGTTGGTGGGGTAGAACTCTGTAGACATGTTGTGCCACGTTCCCCAAAAGATCCCGTTCCGGACTCCCTTGTACCTCTTGTGATAGTACTTCCCATTTAGGTTGGCGGACATGCAAGCGTCGAACCACCAGCCGGAGCTGTAGTAGGCGCCACAGTTTCCAGACGGGTACATGTCGTTGTCTCGGTCTGGTGTGGAGAAGAACTTCTGGTCGTGGTTGAAGTGCTTGTTGAAACTCATGGCATTGCCAGCTGTCCCACTGCAATGATACATCCACATATCACCTACGGTGATCAAACCTGAAATCTAATACTAGTAGGTTCAGAAATAGGGGAATCAACCTCTTTTAGCTTTCACAAAAATGTGTTGCTTCTCAGCCAAGGAGCTTTTTCTATTCAAGCGGAAAAATACTGCTTCTTTACTGCTAGCTAGTTTTCAAATCCAACCTCTAATCCTCCCTCCTAAAGGTTTTTTGAGAATTTGCTAGCGGACCAGGACGTCAGATGTTCTTTATTTTCTTTCTGTTTCATTGAATAAAGGTTTTCTTTGTTTCTTCAGAGGCTCCACCACGATGAACACAATACAATAAATGCCAACCATCTCTAGATCCTCTCTTCTGAGATGTAAACATGGATTCCTGTAAAGATTACTTCTTCTCGTGAAATACGTGGCTTTGTGAGACTTCAGGTCACCAGTCCAAAGAGACACATGTTGCAATCATAATATTCTCCCCACAAGGAGCGGAGGGGGCTGATAGACTATTCATTCACCATGTAAAGGGCGGCTCAAGAAAATGATTTCTAAATATGAAAAAATGTGCTTAGTGAACCTTCAAACTCACCAGATAGTTTCTGAGCGCAGCCACTGCTGCAGTTCACTGTGCCCCACCGGGATGGGTCAAACGTGGAGATGTCATTTCACCAAGGTGTGATGATGACTATTGAGACTTTAACTTTAATGAAGCTTTGGTGTCGGCTGAAGTGTTGGTTGAAACTCAAAGAATTGCCTAACCTGGCAAGCCATCCTATATATGTGAATATATAGTCTGGCCATGACCCATACAAAGCTCAGTTGTTGGGCGTAAGCAACAGTTGTCTTTCAAACTGTCTGCAAGCTATTAGGCAACAAGCAACGTGACTAACTCACTGTTACATATGCCAGTCAAAGGGCAGTCCGCCAAACACCATTGAAGAAGACGCAAAAACATATTTTTTCTAAATAAATTTCTTAAGTACCTCTATTTGCTCTTGATTCAAAGAAAATCCCAAGTCTAAATAGTCCAAAGTCGAGGCCAAAGTCATTTCAAAGGAGCCGCCGCGACTTTTGCTGTTTCGCTCCATGTCATTAACGTCCCGCCCACCAAACCAGCAGAACGCTTTGATTGGCAAGACACAAAACTGCTCAGGCCAATGGTAGACCTATTGAGGCTACAATAGAGCGGCTAGATCGACCTGTGGAGTAAAATCCTGTTGCTTCTGCTACAGTCTGCATAGACTTCTAGGCTGGGCAATGCATATGTGCACTGATGTACGGGTGAAGCCCTCCCTCATAGCGGTGTTTCGGGCCTTTGTGTGTTCACCATGCTACACCACAACTCCAAGGCGGATTTATTTTGAAACTAGCTTGCAATAATGGAGCTCCGACTACAGGTTAAAAAAAATGTGTTGCTCCACGTTTTTCTGCTTGAACTGAAAATGTACCTTAATGAGAAGAGAAACATCTTCTAGGTAGCAAAAAACTTTAGTTGTCCTTTTTTGTGTGCTCAATAGGATTACTATGCCTTTGAAGATCGACAGCCTTCATCTATAGGCTATACTGTACCTGTATCCGCTGATAGAGAGCCGGTAGCGCAGGTACTCATTAGCCACATAGAACTGGTCATACTTTGCATATTCCCGAACTCCCTCGAAGTCCTCCAACTCTATACGCAGAACCATGTCTTTGGCCTTTGTCAGCAAATGGATATAGTCGCTGCCCAGCCAGAACTCACCTCTGCAAAACATAAGATGGAGCAAAAGGATGAGAGAAAACTTAAAAAAATGAAGCATGTAATATAAATAACTCATCTGCTGGCACAGTTGGTTAGAAAATAGATACATTTATTCAAACAAAAATGAAGTTATTTTCACACCTGGGAGGATATAGTGGAGATGCAAGCGAAGTGTGACAGTGAAAAATGGATGAGACGGGTTATTATTTTTTTAGTGGGACGGAATGCAAGAGCTGCAGGCATACTTATCAAGGAGTTACCATTATTCCTCACAAAACAAGAGAAAAAAGAAAAAGCGGAGAGAGGAAATCGATCTGAAAGCCCAGCATATCCTTCACTGACCAGTGTTTCTAAACATTAACGCTCTAACGTCTTAAATAATAGATATTGGAAGTTTGCAATCTGCTAAATCAGAATCAAGTTTACCAGAGCATTTGTTTAATTTTATGAGCGATGATCCATCAGCTTTAGTGAAAACAAGTGGCAAACATTCGGTGATGGTGAGAACAGGTGTACATTGTTATTGTTATGGCCCCTAAAAGCAGACTGGGCGCTACCAAGTTGTGATGGCTGAAATAATTCAGTAGCATTTGGTTTATTTTTTTGTTTTTGTGTGGAAAAGCTGGTCTTTTAGTTGAGATTGCTATATTTCTTGGTTACTTCTGTTTACCTGAGAAAATAGCTGGTTCCAGCTAGTTGTAGCATATAAAACTGACCCACAGGTCTGTTAGTTTTGGGATTTAGTTTATGTTGTTGCACACATGCAGCAGTTGTTCCATTTCAGTTGTATTTCACTGATTTAAAAAATTGCTTTGCAAACCAAATGTGACTTAACCAATCCTGTGAAAATCTATTTTTCGTTTTAGTGCCAAAAGATCAGCAGCAATGTTCGGCAGTAATTGCTTTCTACAGACGCTGTGGCATTGAGTTTAATCTGCAAATATTTCTTTTTTTAAGCATTGCCCGTATTCCATTAATAGAAAATTGCTGTAACAATTTATTACTTCACTTCCATAAAACAAGTAAAGCTTCATAAAACGCTGCATCCTAGAAACTCTATAATGTGTTTCAGTTGCAGCTTTTATTACATCCCATTCCTGTTAAAGCCTGACTTTACAGTCCAGATTAGTGCTAAGCTAAATTAACCTTGATGTGAATGGGGTTATTTTTCATGCTTTCAGCCATGTGCCCAGTATTAGTTTTGATTATTTTCTAAATAGCTTCATAAAAGCTTGGAAAATACCTACCCGAGGTTTCCGAACCCCTTCTTATACTCGGCCCAGGTGCGGTTAAAGCTGACGGATCCATCGAGACGTTGCTGTATCACAGTCCAACCACCACCAAAGGACTCCATTTCACAGAAGACCTCAAATGTCCCATTACGGGGGTCAGGGGTCACGCGATAAACACCGTTCTTCCTCACCTCCAGCACATTGTAGTCTGAGCAGTCCCGAGGAGCTAAGATAACTGTGGGAGGAATACAAACACAAGAGACCGTAGTTTAGGAGGATTTTACTGGATGGATTCAATAATCTTTCACATTGGTCCGGCTTACTTCTGCGCCAAACAAAAAGCTTATACTATGTAGCCCCTGAGGCAAGTGAAAAGTGAAAAAATTATTATTTCTTATTATTTATAACTATTATTTATTTATTATAACTTATTACTTTTAAGGTAAATGTGCTAAAATGTTCATTATTTGATTTTCTGCCTTCCTGAATTTAAAAACAACTTCATCAAACAACAGTGATTTTTAGCACATCAGTAATAGCAGCATTTGACAATGAATTCTGCTTTTATTAAATATTGACTATTCCTTGACTTATTTTCATTTTTCAAATATGACATCAAGAATCTTTTCAGCACCTTGACTTTTGCTGAGGTGTCTTTCTACCTTTACTATTTTTATACCTCTGTACGCTCATTGGCCTTGGTCGTTTGCTCTGTGACATTGCTGGTCATGCACTCTGGATCTAAAGGTCTGTGTCAGTCAGCATTTATGAACTAAAAAGGACAGACTTGTCAAAACCTGGGAATGTGTAAAACCGAATTAGAAAGGCAGTCCATGCCCATATGGCACCTTATGTCTAAATCCTACTAACTGTATGTAGTTTTGAGTTTGTTTTGTTGATACAATTTAGGCTTACAGCTCAATCTGTTTAGTTGGACAGTAGATTCAAAGGGTCTGGACTGAATTCTGTGCTATTTCCAGTTGCTTTGACTGTCTACTTAACTTTCCTCCCACGTTTCAAACAGCACTTAAAGTGCAAAAAGGCTGCAGATGGTTACTGTTTCCATATGGAGAACAGATTCACAAGCAAACATGAGGGTAGAAATGTATTCCTGTCACGTTAATATCTGTTGGCATTTGGCATTCAAGAGGATTGACCTGTAAATTCTTTTAGTGTCTCTCTCTTTTTAAATGTTCAACTGCAGTTTCTCTACTTCACTTCTCCTCTCTCTTTTTGTCCCCATCAATTTCACCGGACAGCCAGTGCCCCTGTACGAACAAGAACCATCTCCATCATACAAGTCTGGCCCTGGGGCTCACCTTAAATAACTCAAACATTAGTCACTTACTCATGTCTAAAAGACTCTTGGCTGACTGTTGGGTTGTTGAGTCAGATCAGGGGATAATTGCTCAGGGACTGATTTAGCAAGAGATAAAGGGCATCAGTCATGTCTGCAAATGCCCCCCAAAATGGCAAAAGTAGATTTGCTTTGGCCGTTGTTTAAATTGGGTGTGACTGGTATTGCACAGGCTACAGATGGAGGTGGACCATATGGTTGAACAGATCAGTGAAGCTTAAATGTATCAAAAGCATAAGTTTTTTTCCTGCTGTGTGCATCTGATCACACAATACCTACAGTGCTATGAGGAAGTATCTACCCCCTTACAGGGTTCTTCTTTTAAATGTTTCAGATCAGAAAAGACTTTTCTACAACACACAAATATAACCTGGGTAAATACAAGATGCAGTTTTCAAATAATTAGGTGACATGGAAAACCACGCTATGTGGAAGTTCATTTTTATCAGCCAGACCCAGGCCTGACCTGAGGAAATCACTTAAATGGAACCTGTCTGATGACCAAAGATTTCCCAAACCAACACACCAATCCCTGTTTTGAAGAAAGAACATAAGAGCTCAGGACAACATCTAAAGCACTGCAGGCAAAGATTAGGGTCAGAGTTCATGATTCAACAGCAAAACGGAGGCGGTGGAGAAAGAAAATGGCAGCTACAGTTCCATAGCCTAAATTTCTGCTGACCCAAAAAAACAAAAAGGCCCCTCTCATGTACAAAGACTTATCGTGATGATTGCTAAGATATCTGGAAAAATATATTGTGGACAAATGAGGGAAAGATTTGGGAGGTGTGTGTGCCATTACATCTGGTGTGATATTGAAATAGAACATCATACCAGTACTCAAACATAATAAAGGTAGTGTAATGGTCGGGGGATGCTATGCTGCTTTATGATGACTGACTATAAATAATGGGACCATGAATTCTGCTTCTCCCAGAAAATCCTATATCAGAATGTCCAGCCATCATTTTGTCACCTTAATCTCAAGGACACTGGGGTTATTCAGTCAGTATGAGTATGTTTACTGTATGTTTATGTTTATTTATTTGGCAGACGCTTTTATCCAAAGCGACATGCAATTTTTAACTTGTAGGGCATGTTGTGATCTGTAGGGGAAACCGGAGTACCCGGAGGAAACCCACGCATGCATGGGGAGAACATACAACTCCACGCAGAAAGGCCACAGCCGAGTTTCAAACCTGCAACCTTCTTGCTGCAAGGCAACAGTGCTAACAACTGCGCCACCATGCAGCCCATGCAGTATGTCCATTTTAGATTAGCTAATCAAAGGTCTTGGCCTATTTAAAGTCCAGACCCAAAGCTGATTGAGGTGATGGTGTGGCCAAGCTCTTCATGTCATTTCTGGAAAAAGAGTTGACGGAAACTCCTCCACAGTGTTTCCGCAACTTTTAAGGGGTTGGATTGGGGAGTTCAATCACCAAATAAATACCAAGCACGGCCACAGCAGCAGCTCACCACTACCCATGGAAATGAGTCAAATGCAGATATGAATTTCACCAGTGTGTGATAACTAATGGGACTTTAACTTTTAATTTTGTTTTAACATTCACATTGATGATGCCTCAGACCACTTTGCCATGGGCTTCTCCAGCCTCATCGACTCTTTCAGTTTTAATCAGCATGTTTCTGGCCCCACACACACCAGGGGTCACACTCTGGACCTTGTTTTTACCCTGGGTCTAAATGCTGACAGTGTTTCTCCTAATGATGTTTATATTTCAGATCATTATTGCATCTTCTTTAACTTGTCATTTTCTGCGTCTCCACCTAGGATTTTTCTATCAATTACCACAAACGCTTGATTGCGGTTGTTGCTGCCTAGGATGTTACAACCAGTTATTAGCTTTAGTTGCCAATTTCATTTTTGGATAGGGCCAGGTTGGTTTAGATAGCTTTTTTTCCCCCTAAAAAATAAATTCATGATTTATTTTTTTATCTAGTATTAAAATTAGGAGGGTCCAGGAGGGTGCGTGGGAGTTTGCCCAACCAATCTATATGTGTTTTGTAGATTTGGAGAAAGAGTTCAACTGCAGGCTGCACAGTGGTTAGAGCTGTTGCCTTGTAGCAAGAAGGTCCTGGGTTCGCTTCCCTGCCTGGGATCTTTCTGCATGGAGTTTGCATGTTCTCCCTGTGCATGCGTGGGTTCTCTCCGGGTACTCCGGCTTCCTCCCACAGTCCAAAAACATGACTGTTAGGTTGAATGGTCTGTCCAAAGTGTCCTTAGGTGTGAGTGTGTGTGTGCATGATTGTAATTCCTGTGTGTCTCTGTGTTGTCCTGCGATGGACTGGCTCTCTGTCCAGGTTGTACCCCGCCTGATTGCCCGTTGACCACTGGAGATAGGCAAAGCTCTTGATTTACCAGTTGATCTATGTTCCAACCCTCACTTATGGTCACAAGCTTTGGATAGTGGGTGAAAGAATGAGATTGCTGATTCAAGCGGCTGAAATTAGTTTTCTCCGCATGGTGGCTGGGCTCTCCGTTAAAGATAGGGAGGGAAGCTCGGTCAACCGGGAGGGACTCGGAGTAGACCCGCTGCTCCTCCACATCAAGAGGAGCCAGTTGAGGTGACTCGGGCATCTGGTCAGGATGCTTGCAGGACACCTCCCTGGTGAGGTTTTCTGGGCACGTCCAACTGGGAGGAGACCCAAAGGAAGACCCAGGACACGCTGGAGAGACTATGTCTCACGACTGGCCAGGGAACGCCTTAGGATTTCCTCGGAGGAGCTGGCCCAGGTGGCTGGGGAAAGGAAAGTCTGGACCTCCCTGCTTAGGCTACTGCTGCCCCCATTCAGTGATGCATGGGGTCGCAACCCAATCCCGGATAAGCGGCCCGAAAATGGATGGATGGGTATTAAAATTTGTTTTCTGATCTCAAACATTTAACGCATTTTTTTTTTACTGACAATAATGTTGGTGTAAACATCCTAGTCTGACAAATGAATGTGTTTTTAAAGATGGCCTCTTGGCAGACTGAAAACTTGTCTCTTAATCATCAGATTGACTGTTTGGCATCTGTCTGCAGGCATGGTTTTTAAACAGGAAACAAATGTTATCTGGAGAGTTAGCAACAGGAAGTAAATATATTCTGCATTGAAAGTGATAATGTGATACATCGCCCATAAAGCTAAAATTAAATACAGCAGTCCATTTTGGATGGACAGAAACTCATAAAGAGTCATCACATTTAGAGACTTACAGCTCAAGAGACAATGGAGAAGTGAGAGTCTATTCCCAGCTTTTATAATTGAGTTAATGTAGCTTGAAGTTCTGTCCACTCGTCTTGAGATCCAAATATGAAACGTGGTTATGACAACAAGATGGAGAATCGTCTGAGATGAAGTTTCCAACACTTTCTCACAGTGCTTTTCCTAGTTCTGTTCAATTGTGAAACTGAAATTCTGCCTCGTAAAATATCTAGACATGTTTATGTGTAGACCTATTGTCTTTCATTGCCTGCCACTAAACCCAGGCCCTTTACACAGATGTGTCTTTAGCCCTCTCCTGTAAATGGTAAATGGCCTGTATCTGTATAGCGCCTTCTTAGGGTTCTACAACCCCCCAAGGCGCTTCACAACACAATCAGTCATTCACCCATTCACACACACATTCACTCACTGGTGGGATGAGCTAGGATGTAGCTACAGCTGCCCTGGCGCCAACTGACAGAGTCGAGGCTGCCGAACACTGGCGCCACCGGTCCCTCCGACTACCACCAGCAGGCAAGGGGGGTTAAGTGTCTCTCCCAAGGACACAACAGCAGCATTCTCTGGTCCTAGCTGGGATCGAACGTGCAACCTTCAGGTGTACACACCACCCATTTGCAGGTTTGCAGATAACATTGCTGTTGTTGGTTTTATTTACGACGAAAGTCAATCTAAATATAGGAGGGAGGTAAAAAAGGTTGCTGATTGAGCGAAGATTAGTAATTCACCCATATGAAAATTTGGGCTGATGTTGACATCTGATATTAATAATGATGCCTTTATAATTGATATTTACAGGCAGTATGTATATTTCCCTACGCATTCAACACTGTGTTAAAGTTATTATCTACTAAATTGCTTGTCTACTTCAGTGAAAGACTCGACAATCCTGCGCTGCATCACTGTATGGGGCCAGCAGAAGCTCAGGAGGTAGAGCAGGTTGTCCAGCAATCAGAAGGTTGTAGGTTCAATGCCGACTCCTGTCAGAGAATGCTGCTGTTGTGTCCTTGGGAAAACACTTAACCCGCCTCGCCTGCTGGTGGTGTTCGGAGGGACCGGTGGTGCCAGTGCTCTACAGTCTCGCCTCTGTCAGTGCGCCCCAGGGTAGCTGTGGCTACATTGTAGCTCATCTCCACCAGTGTGTGAATGTGTGTGAGAGTGGATGAATGACTTATTGTGTTGAAATGCGCCTTTAGGGGTGCTATACAAATACAGGTCATTTACCACTATCACTGACATGCCCAAACAAATACCAAATGACCAATCCCTTCCCCCTCCTGAAACACGTGCAAATGGAAACAAAATGGAAATGTGCATTTTCATTATATCAGCCCAGTTTGCCTTAACGTACAGATACGGATATTAAAAATGATTAAAACGTGCCTATATTTATGTTGATGCTGATATATTGTGCATCTCCAGTTAAGATGTTGTTGGATTTCAAAACAAGAGCCTATACTCGTCTTCTTCCCACAACTGGAGGAGAAACTGTAAAGCTTGTGGAAACAGCTGAATAATTGGACCTGCTTATCCACTGAACTTACATGGACTATTAACAATGCTAACATACTTTAAAATGCTCACTTCATGACCCTGCTACAAGGAGGCTGAAGAATGCTGCTATTCTTCTCACTGGTGTGGGGTGGAGTGTCCTGACATCTCCCATACCTGTCTGGTTTGGGAACTGTTCTGACGTTGACAAGAAGGTGCTGCAACAAATGAACAGTAGCTTTCCTCTCTAGAGGATAATTACACCTGCAAAACCAGGACAAATAAAGCCATGATGAATCCCACCTATACAACCATCCGTCTATCGTTTATAGAGCACATTTAAAACACAACATGGCAGCTGACCAGATACCTCTACAGTGACCTCGTTCCTTCAGGCAGACAGTTGAGCAGCCCCAAGGCCTGGGCAGGCTAAGGAACAGCTCTTACACTGAGGCTCTGGTAAGATACTGAAGATAAAAAACATTAATTCGTCTAACATGGTTGGGTGTTGGACTTGTTTTGCTAAAGCAAGTCAAATGTTTTCCATCGTATCAGTTTCAGTGTCTTTTTAGATTAAGAAATAGTATTCAAGTGAAACAGGATTTACACACTTGCTGATAGCCATGTTGCGAAACTGCAGTCTTATCGCAAAACGTTGGCCCGTTCTTTTTGTATAAACAGCCGTTTCTCGTCTTCTCCTCCTCTGGGATTGACCTCGTACTATCAGGTACGATTCCCAGAGGCAAAGTAGCTTGTTACATAAATGGGCAAAACATGACAGATAAAGTGATGGACTGATGTATAAAGATGAGTGTTGCTGATGCTTTGTGGACCATGACTGGTGCAATGTCAGAGGGTCTGCCTCAATTTCGTCTTGTGTTATCGGAGAGCCTGAGTTCTAGAGCAAGAGTAGAAGCAGGGAAACAAGGGCAGAGGCAGAGGGAGGTGAACTGGAAAATGACTAGTAACGAAAAGTTAGAGAAGCAGAAGAGAAATGAGAAATAGTGGAAAATGAAAGATAAGTCCTTTTACAAAACACGAATGAGTTGTGTGGAAATGAAAAGAGCGTAGAGGAGAGTTTGGAGGAGACGTTTGGGAAGGAAAAGCAAACACACACACACACACACACACATGAGAAGGAGACAGGATTCCCTTCACACCACTGTCCCAGCTAATCTGCTTAGAAATAAGCTCACATCTGTTTTCCACATGAAAGCTCCAATATAGTGCCACATCCATTCATGCAGTATCAGGATATTATTCACTTGGTGACTGAAAAGTGGCCCGCCTTTCTGCTGTGCTCTCATCCGAGCGAGCTTACATCTTATACAAGTTTTTTTTATGCTTAGCCAGTTTATAGTTCCTGCTTATAGTTTCACAGACATTGGAATGAGATTTCACATTTGAAGCTTTTATTTTGGTGATACCAAGTATCTGTCTCTGCTTTTCTGAGCTTCTGCACATGGAGGGCGAGAGCCCTTGAATTAGTTACGTAAGAGCTAATTGGAATTCCATATTTGTGTCTGACTTTTATATTACCTCTCCGTAGTACTATAAGATCTTATTTAAAAGCGATCTTGCACTAAAAAGCCTCAGATGAAATAAGATGGAGAATTAAGGAGTATTCCCTTGACAGTGATGAAACATTTGCTTTAATAATTCGTGGATCTCCTTTGCAAATTGTTCAATTGGATAATAGAAAAGGCAGCAAACAGATCATCAGCTTGGAAGATGTCACTTCCCTTTTCCTAAAAAAGAACAACCTTGTAAGGTGAAGGTGACTGAGCAAATATTGCTTTTCAAGTGATTAGACTGTCCACTTAGGAATGATTAGACAGAAACCATGCCAAGGACTTCACCTCCAGGATTTGTTTATCTTTAAAAACAGAAGAAAAAAGGAAAGGAGCTCACATTGGGGGCTGTTCTGGACTGCACATTGGGTGTTGCAGTTGGAGCTGAGCTTGTTCACCACCCCGGTGATGTTCTCCACCCGTCTGTCCACCATAGCCTGCACGTTGTCCATGTTGAGCAGGTTGAGCTCCTCCAAACGCCCCTGCAGAGCGGAGATTTGGTTTCTGGCGTTGCGCAGGCTGGCTGACATCCTATTCAGCTTCACCTGAGAAAAAGGCCAGAGTGGGGGCAAAGAAAATTGTTTTTGGCACCAACTACAAAGCAGGGTGGATTACTGAAGGCACCAGCCAACGGGAGCTTTAGAATGGAAACGGTGTCTGCGCGATGCTTGGCTGTTTGCCAAAGTGGCTGTGAGAATCAACAAGCTTTACTGGGCAGCTGAAATTTACCGCCGTTTGGCTGGTGTCTAATGCTGATCCCCCACCCTGTTTACAGTACCAGGAATGTTCCCTGGTGGATCGGTGCCAGATCAGACATCACAGGGCTTTCAGCACCTAGGCTTGGGTGCATTTGGCTGAACAAATGTTTGGGTTGATGGGTTGTAGAATGTTTATGAAGCACATTTCATGCCCATTTTGAGAGATCCTGAAATGGATCACTTTTTTGTGTTTGTACTTTTCCAAACTATTATCATGTGTATGATTTTTTGGGATTGTGCCCTGAGAAAGACTCCTGAGCCTAACTTAACATTTTGGTAAAAATCCGACCATTGTTGGTTAGGTTTTGAATAGTGTGACAACGTTTTGCCTCTTACCTGCATCTCCTGCATTGTGCTTGGGTTTGGGGTCATTTTCCCAAAAAAGGTCCCTCGTGTCAGCCCAGCATCATCCCTAGTTGCTCCAGGAATCACGCCGTCTCCCCTCTCCTCTTGGCTTTCCTGTATTCCCTGTGCCATCAGGTCCGGTCTGGCTTCTTCTCCAGCATCCATTTGAACGGAGGCTTGCGTCTGTCCTTGTTCCGTTCGGTGATATCCAAAAGCGTCATTGCCCTGTGTCCCACAGCTCTCCTGGCATCCACTTTTCAGCTTGTTCACCACCTCCTTCAGGTTCTGCAGCTCCTTCATGGTCTTCTCTAGCAGCCTAAACTGTTTGGGCAGCTGAATGGTGAGAGGAGGCAGGGTGAGCTGGTAGGGACAATCCTCCCCCTCCTCTGCCCCAGGCCCAGAGCTCCCACAGTGGCCCAAGGGTCTAAGTTTCATGGGGCATGAATTAGGGTTACCAGATTCAGCTCCCAGATTGTAGGGTCCTCTAGCATCCCATCGCTGGTATGAGTTAACCGAAAAGTCTGCAGCCTGGCTGGTTTGCAACACCAAGCCCGCTGTGAGCAGGAGACAAACGCAAAGTGAATCTCTCCGCATGTTTTTGTGAAATTTGTAAAAGACTGAAAATTAAAAAAATCAAGACTAAATGCAAATCTCTTTAAAATGAACTTGCAGTGTATGTTTGTGTGCGTCTAAGAAAAAGAGGATGTGAATGTGCGTCCGGTATCTGTGTTTGTAGCGGGCTCCTCTGTTTGTAAGTGTGTGTGCGTGTGTGTGAGTGAGTGCAGTATGCAGAAGGAGGAGAGCGCAGAGGAACTGCTGCTGCCTCAGATAGCTGTGTCATTAATATCAGGACGAGAGAGAGGGAGGGAGGGAGTTAGGTAGAGGGAGTGATGGAGAGGGAGAGAGAAAGTGCTGAGTTGAAGAGGACGGGAGGGGCAGGACTATTGCAAAACACCATTTCACCAGAACCAAGACGGAGAGAAGAGTCTGGTTAGATGTGTCGGGAAGGCAGGTAAATGTGTAAAGATCAAATGTCGTTCCTTTAACATCCTTCAGGTAATATTCCTCACTTGCCCTAATCTGGAGTCAGCTCCTCTCCCTAAGGAGCAAAGTGACTCAGTGAACGGTCAGGCACTCAACTGACATTAGGGTGATGCTTTTTCACGCTTTGTCACTTTTTGCTGGGCTGAGTGTTTGTAAAGTTTCAAGACTTCTTTGTGACTTTTATTTAGTCTTTGAATCACCCAAACTAATCTCAACGGCCAAAAGGAATTTTTGGTTCTGTGAGACTCAGGAAAAAGTCACTAATGTGGTCATTTTATCCATGTAGGTTTAGAGTTTATGATGATGCATTTGCACTAAAGTGTATAATAGTTACTGCAGTGAACTTCTAATAATAATAGCAAAAATACAATTCTAAATATTAATTATAGTTATGTTAAAAATAGAGATGCATCCCTAAATCATATCAGAATCAGCCAATCTTCAGCAAATTCATCTACGGTCAGCCAGCTTAAATTTCAATACGTAGTTTATTTTTGGCCTATGAATGCACGAAGCTGCAAAAAAAAAAAAAATATATATATATGTATATATATATATATATATATATATTTTTTTTTTTTTTTTTAATTCCCTAGGCTGCATATTCACTGTTTATAGGCACTTAACATCTTTCATGTGTGCGTTTTTATTTATAGAATCATAATTTGTAGATATTTCAGAAATACAAAAATACTATCCAGTTCCAGTTAATACTGTGACTGGAGATAAATCAGCATTGACCAAAATTTGTATCAGCTGTACATGAATCCGTGCATTTTAAACAGGAATATTTGTCACATACATATTTCAAAGTTAAAACAGATATTGTCCACCTAAGTGGAAATATGAAAAACTAACATAAAAACTATATTAAGTTCATCTCTGTTGTTGCTTGTGTACATGATAAAGGGCTGTTGTCTTTTAGGATGTCCACAGGATGCCTGTAAGATTCAAACACAGCATTTCTACTCTAGTTCAGATTAAAACGAGCTTCATCTGTAGGAAAAACACTTTCCCTTCTACGATAGAGTAGGTATTCTATTTATTTTAGCACTGCAAGCAAAATACAGGAGAGAAAAATTATATAAAACTGTTTATTTTAGACAAGCGTCTTTCCCATGGACACAATAGCAGAATTCTTTGGTCGGAGCCGGGATCAAACCTGCAACTTTCTGATTACTGGACAACTCGCTCTAAATTTATGTGAGTATTTTTTCAAGGAGTGGAAAATTGAAAAAACATTTTTAAAATCTTATTTCTGATTATAACCATTGACGCTGAGATTTTCACACAGGCTGAACATGAAAATAGTCTCTCACCTATCTCCTGCATTAGCCGCTGATGTGATAGACGGTGAAACTTTAGGATTGGAAATTCCTCACAGATCTACGTCACACTGTCACTTAACATTCATGGAGTCACCCATCTTGACTCACGACAGGGAAGGCTGTTGTAGGTTCAGAGTTCAAGAAACAGCAGAGAGAGCTGATAGAAGCTAGCCGTTAGCATTCACAACTCTACCATACAGCACAACTCCTCCAGGATTGTGTTATTTGTGGAGATAAAACATCAACATTGGACATCAGTGGCCAAGTTGCATTGCTGTTATCCAATCTGAGACGAGATGTCCAAATATCAGGAAGTATGACTCCAAAACCTTCTGCCTTAAGCTCAGCTGTGATGTGGCTCATTTCTAGCTCCTGGAAATGATGTATCTTTTTTTTGTGGTGACACCACCTCCTCCAAGTATGACTTACAAATAGGGCTGGGCGATGTGGCCTAAAATCAATATCACAATATATTGAGGATTCACTTTGTTAACGATAAATGGACGATAACTACAGGTATGCGCAGAAACAAAAGTTGTCCACTAGATGGGGCTGTCACATGTATTACGTTAAGTCACATTTTTACGTGACTCAAGGTGGTACAGCTTCTTAAAGGGACATGAATGTTGCCAACCTACACACATCTTTCCATTTTTTTATTATCAGATTTATTGACATGGGAACATTTATCTCGATAAGAGTCAGAAATTTCGATAAAGATACATTTTCTATTCATTGCCCAGCCCTAGTTACATAGCAATAATTCCTACTAAATACATGTATTAATTAAACAAGTGTTCCACACCTAAAGAAACGTGAAATTATAAATTTTACCAAAGCAGTCGATAATATCTCTTAAATGTTAAACCAAAGAGTATTTATCCTTGTGAAAACTTCTAAAATGAGCACCTTCCTCCATTCAGCAAAGGCGTTGTGGTGTTAACCAAAACTCTGGCCTCGCCCTGTAGCTCAGAGGCGCCAGCTGCTGATTGGATGAAGCGTTTTAACTGCTGTGTCCTCACCAATAATGGATTTGTGGATTAGTTCAGTCTAATCACAAACAATGAAGCCTTTAAAAAATAAGGCTGTAAAGTTGTTTTGTTTACTACAGTAATGGAGAGTCTTTAGTGGTTTTAGAATTAATGAAGTACCACAAATCAGCTCATCGTATAGAGATGGTGAGGCAATAATTATCTACTGAAACCAAATTTCCATCAAGCGCTCTCAGCTCGATTTGCGTGACACAGAGTTTATGACACAAAGCTAATGTTTTGGTCTGTTACGGGATTCAGAGTTATGAAATCAAAAGCTTTAAAATGCCCCATGCATCATGTTTTTGAAGAAGTGACACGGTTTTAGTAACATAAATGATCCACTGCCTCTTAGGAGAATCCTTCTTTACAGCACAAAACTTCCCCGAACAAAGCAGTTCCATCTGGCTGTGGGCTCTCCTCCAATTCAAACAGTGAGAAGGACACGAATGTAAAAACACAAAGCTGGTGTCTCTCTTCACCAGGCAGCGGAATGCAGGAGTCTGCCTCGCAGCCATTGTCATTATGTTTCCCCTGAAGGTACGGAGTATTAAAGCTCACATATATGTGCTGCGGAGGGCCTAGTGCAGGAGGTATAACGCTTGCTGGAGAGCATGCAGGAGAGGATGGACAGGTGCGTTCAAGTGCCTGCATTAATATCTTTTAGTAATTGTTCCCGCCTCGCTTTAGAAGGAGTTTGCCACACGTGAGCCTCGTGCAGCCGCCTCATAAAACCTTCCAGCTGCAGATAAGTGCTGGCAGCAGAAACGGCCTCAGGCTGCTCCTCACTGATAAATGTCCAGAGTACAGCCAGAATGTTTGTTCCACCTCTCATATCACCTGAACGCAGTCACAAAATCCTGATTACCTCCAATTATCATTTTTGTTCTTGGTAAAAGTCCAATTCAGGTGCTGGTTTTAGGGCAGAACGTCACATTTTCAGATGCTGCTCACAGTTTTTCATCACACTAGTTTGACCTCAGATGACGGAGCTTAAAACTATTAGAACAAATCATTTTAACGATCCACATCATTCACCGTTTTCATATCTCTGTCCTTTTTTAGACCTTGGAGCACGGCTTACGATGACAAACAATATATTGGGGTGAATCTGTGAACACAATAATCTGTCCCTGCCGTTTGAAATGGGGACGAGATATCATCCCGCGTGCGTGTTGGTGTGCTGTCGGAGAACCCGCTTCCCAATCCGACCAGAGATATCTTAAATCCTGCACCTCTCCGATACAGACGAGGCAATCCCTCATTACTCGTCCCTCTGCAGACCCGCCTCTGAAGATAAGAGAGCAGCACCTGTCCCCCGTTTCTACCCCTGCCAGACGCACACACAGCTGTATTCGTACGCTGTTTATGACTTTATAACCTTTTTGGTTTTGGTCTGCATTTATTAAGATCAGTTAGCAATTGCAGATGGGTGTGGTGTTTGTTTCTGATTTATTTGATAAATGTATCTAAGTTTGTGATAACTTCTGTAAAGATAACACTTTAGATCATTTTTATTTACACATAAGCTGGTTTGTTAATGAGCTGGTCACTAAAAGCACAGAAAATATTTAAACAAATTCCGAAAATGAATTTCAGAACCAAAGTAATATGTTTTCCTTTTTTAAGATTTGTCACAAAATATTGCTGTGTATTGATCAGTAAGCAGTTTTAAATTTCCCATAACTTTTTTTAACAGACTGAGTTATCTATTTTCTTCTTTCTGGTATTTCTAAAAATGGTTGTTTTCTGTTTTTCAGATGTTGTCACTCAACAAAATTAACCAGACGACTGCAGCAAAACTGAAAGCCAACTTCAAACTACTCCATCAAACCTTGAAATGGTATTTTGTTTTTTCTTACCAAGTATTGACTTAATAGTTGACTTTTAAGATGCTGAGCACACAACATTTGAACGATTAATAATAAAATGTGTCTTAAATCCTTCTTATCACTTTAATTTACTACCCTGCATGACAAGGTGTTCTCCTCATCAGATTAATTTGTGATCATGTTAAAAGTACAACTATGGAAAAGGGCATTGCGTCTGTAATTCTCATGTTAAAAGAGATTTTAAAACCTAGAAGTCCAGTAAAATTCAACCACTTTATTTACTATTCACACACCTACCAACCCAGATGTGGTTTGTCATGCAGGAAGTAACAGGAAGGAAATCTCCAAAATCTGATGTGATGGAGTAAGGGTCTCAGATCCACTCTTATCTCCCTAAACTGTCAGAACAGGATAAGTTCTTTAACATTCAAGATGTATTCTCAGATTTATCAAGCCATCAGCACGATTGCAAAAGGAGTTCTAAAGTTTTTATGAGGTCATCAACTGATGGAAGACTTTTAAAAACCAAATAATCCACTTCTGTATTCAGAATTCGAAAGAGGTATTTTGAACGCATTCGCAGTGGTCTATAGAAGGAAGGAATGCCTTGTAAGTCGTACTCTGGGGAAGAAAAGTTTTGGTGAGCCTG